TCCAAAGTCTTGAAAGATCTGAGATTCCCTTTTTCTCAGGGTGCAGTTGCTCTGAAAAATGGCTGTGAGCACCTCTGGGAGATGCGTGAGATCATTATCATGACATAAGCGTCCGTGGCATTGCATGATTTTTCCTGAAGGAAACTGGCCTCCCCTTCGATCAATGGGCTCTGCAGCCAAAAATGCTTTGCGTCTGGAAGTTGGGGAGGGACCATGATTTTTCCTTTGCAATGGTTAACATCAGCCTTCTGCTGACTCATTCTTGCTCATTTTTAGCTATGAAATCATGAAGTACCATCATTGGCTGTCCACCTGCCTAGATGGTCTATTGGCCATCACACTACATCCCAGTTTGCCATTGGGTCCTTCTGCCCATTACAGTGATTCTGTCCACCTGGACTCTGATGACTAAGCTCTGTAACCTGGCCTCATTCTGAGCCCCTGTCATACCCACCAGCTCTAGGAAGCCCAGTTCCATAGCAGCTTCTGCTACCAACAATGAAGAAGGAAGTTACTGTCTGAGGTGGCTGACCTCAAATACGAAGGACGAAATGGTTGCGATCCAATTCTGAGGACTTAGATTCTTCTTCAAGAATGAAGGTTTGTCCCTGGCTGGTGTGGGTCAGTGGTTGGAGCATTGGCCCATGCACTGAAAAGTCACTGGTTCGGATCCTGATCAAAGGCACATGCCGAGGTGGCAGGTTCAATCCCCAGGCCTGGTTGGGGTGCATGCAGGAGGCAACCAATTGATGTGTCTCTCTCACATCGATGTTTTTCTCTCCCTCCCTTGTGCCCTCCATCCTTCCTTTCTACTTTCTCTCTAAAAAAAAAAGAAAGAAAAAGGAATGAAGGCCAGGACCGGTTTGGCTCAGTGGATAGAGCATCGGCCTGCGGACTGAAAGGTCCTAGGTTCGATTCCGGTCAAGGGCATGTACATTGGTTGCAGGCACATCCCCAGTGGGGGGTGTGCAAGAGGCAACTGGTTGATGTTTCTCTCTCATCGACGTTTCTAACTCTCTGTCCCTCTCAATTCCTTTCTGTGTAAAATCAATAAAATATATTAAGAAAAAAAAAGAAAAAGGAATGAAGGTTTGGTCACCTGGCCTGGTTAAAAACAAACTGAAGTGCCCTTTTAGGGAAAAGTGAAAATAAAATGAGTAATGGAAGAGGAAAGTTATAACTATCAACTTCTGACAAGTTTCAAAAATAATTATTGTAGAAGCTATGTGTATTTTCTTTCTTGCTTGTTTTGTACCATATACTCTATATATTAATTTCCCCATCCTTTCTTTCCCTTATTATTTTATATAAGGATTTTTGTTGGTAGTGAACTTTATAATTTAGTCTTTATGTTTTCAGAATCCTCTAGAGGAAATGTGGCTGAACTACTAGGTGTACCAGTTAATAATGCAGATTTTTTTCACTAGATGGAGTTACACATATGTTGATATATATGCAATTTGATATGTATGCTATTTTATTATATTGACAACAAGTTTCAAAACTTTATATGTCAAATGTTCTGAAGGTGTTAACATCATAGATATTTTTACACTTAAAAATGTTGACTTTTATGCCAAAAAAAGAGCATTTGCAAGAAGTTTTAATTATTAACCAGTAAAGGGTCAATCTGCACTTTTAACTGGTATCTGCATTTTTAACTGGTAAAAGGACAATCCACATTTTTTTATCCAGTACCGGTTAATAATGCAGATGCTGGTTAAAGATTCAGCTTTTGTAATAAAAGAAAACACATTAATTTTAAGAGAAACATCAAAAGTGCTTTATTCAAAGTAATGTCCATCGCTAGTTACACATTTCTCCCATTTTTCAGATAATTTGTGGATACCATCCCAATAGAATTTTTCTTGTTTTGAAGCAAACCATTCAGAGACCCAATTCTCCACTTCTTCGTACGTTTTGAAGTGCTGCTCAGAAAGTACGTGTACCATCGATCCGAACAAGTGGTAATCTGAAGGAGCAAGGTCTGGTGAATACAGCGGGTAGGTTAATACTTCCCGGGCAAGATCTTTTAACGTGTCTTTAACTGGTTTTGAAGTGTGTGGTGGTGTGTCATCATAAAGCAAAATTACTTTGCCATGTCTTCTGGGCCAATCTGATCGTTTTACAGTCAAACCGTGGTTCAAATTGATTATTTGTTGTTAGTAGTGATCAGTATTAACAGTTTCACCTGGTTTTAGAAGCTCATAATACACCACACCTTTCTGATCCCACCAAATGCAGAGCATTGTCTTTTTTCCGAAGCGATTTGGCCTTGCAGTCCATGTTGATGGTTGACCTGGATCAACCCACGATTTTGTGTGTTTGGGATTCTCAAAATAAATCCACTTTTCATCACCAGTCACAATTCGATGCAAAAAATATATATATATTTTTTCTTTGTGCCGTTAAAGTAACATTTTATTGATGACTTCTCGGTTTTCCATTTGTTTTTCATTCAATTGATGTGGCACCCATTTTCCTTCCTTTAAAATCTTTCCCATTGCTTGTAAACAATCGGAAATTGTTTGCTGAGCAATGTTTAATCTTTCTGCAAGTTGTTTTTGAGTTTGACATGCATCTTCACCCAATAATGCTTGTAATTAATTGTTGGTCTTCAAATGGTTTCGGTTGACCTGGACATTCTTTGTCTTTCACATCAAAATCATCACTTTTAAAGCATTTAAACCAGCGTTCACAGGTATCTTGAGATGGAGCTTGTTCACCATAAGCCTCCCGAAGTATATGATAACTTTCAGCAGCACTTTTCTTCAAAATAATGAATTAAAACTTTCCGCAAATGCTCTTTTTTTGGCACAAAATTTGACATTTTTAAGCGTAAAGATATCTATGATGTTAACACCTTCAGAAAATTTAACATATGAAGTTTTGAAGCTTGTTGTCAATACAACAAAATAGCATACGTATCACATCCCATATATGGTATCTCAACATATGTGTAACTCCATCTAGTGAAAAAAATCAGCGTTATTAGTGGTACACATAGTAGGAGAGTTATTAACATCAGCCAGAAATGCTGACTACTGTTACTGGAGAGACTGCATCTCCACTTTATTTTATTTTAGTAATATTTTTATTTATTTCAGAGAGAAAGGGGGAGAGAGAGATTGATGATGAGAGAAAATCATTGATTGGCTGCCTCCTGCACACCCCACACTGGGAATTGAGCCCACAACCTGGGCATGTGCCCTGACCAGGATTTACGCCATGACCTCCTGGTTCATAGACCTCCGCACAACCTCTGAGCCACAACGGGTCTGGCTGTCAGTATTCCTTAAACTGCACACTGGCGTTTTGTATGCTCTGTTGTGCATTACATTTATCTTGAATTGAAAACCAAAAGAACATCAATATTGCCAATGGCTATCAGTCTGAAAGCAGGAGGATGCTGGGAAGAGTTTCTAGACATGAGGCAAGAGGGAAAAGGCAAAAGAGGGGCAGAAAAAACCAAGCCTGAGGTCCCAGAAGCCAGAATTGAGGCTGAGACTGAGGCTGAGTGAACATCAGGTCTGAGCCAACAGGCAGAACCTTCTTCCCAGCCCCAAGGAAGCCGACCAGCGTTGGGAATGTCTCCTGTCCTCCTCCTGTTTGTGCTAACAGAGGACACCTGCTTGCCGGTCATATTCAGATGTGGGTGCATGTCTGAACCAATGTGGAGACGCTGATCATTTATTAGCAGAGTAGAATAAATCCAGTGACTAGATAGAGCTGGTGAATACATATGAGCTGAACCCCAGGACGGACATTCCTGAGGCCAGATGGAGAAGTTGGGTGGAACCTCTTTAATCCACTTAGCAAAGCTTTCTGTGGAAGCTGGAGACTCAGTGGGTGAAAAAGAACAGGCTGAGTTGGGGAATGAAGCAGGTGGGAGGAGGGATGTGAGAGAACACTGAGAGGTAAAGGGCAGCGGGAAGCCAGGCTGCCTCCATGTCCCCCACCTTCCTGTAAAAGATGCAACCAGCTTTGCGGGGACCTCTCAGCTTTGGGGACCTCTCGGCTTTGGGGACCTCTCAGCTTTGCAGAGAGGCTCGATGGCAGCATGCAACAATGCTGGCAGCCAAGAGGTTAACTGGAAGCCAGGTGCCCCCAGGGTGGTGTGAGGGGGTAAGACTGCAAGGGGAAGCGGTGCCTTGAGACTACTGTGGGCACCAGCTCTGCCGCTGGGAATCCCCACAAACCCAGGCCCCTGGCTGTCAGTCTGCTCTCCACTCCGTCCTGGGAGGTTCCAGGCTCTGGGCTCCCACAGCTGATGGAGACTTCCCATCCCCCACCCTGGGAGCAGGAGACTCCGCGGCCGCCTGGACAGATACGTCGTCCCTCTAGCTGCTCCTTGGCCTCCTGAGCCAGCGGAGCAGGGCCACCTGCGCTCTCTGGAGAGACACAGACCTGGCCCCGAAGGGGCGGGAGGTGCTGGGTGAGGGCACAGGAGGCGAGGACCTCCATCCATTACCAGGGTGAAATCTGAGGTGGACACCACTGACCACAGGTCAGACACTGGAGAGTAGAGGAGTTGGAGCTCAGAGCCGTGAGACGAGGGGTCCCCGGCTCTGGATATGGGGGTGGAGGACAGGCCAGATACCCCCTCTTCCTCCCTCCAATCGCTGCCTCTTCCAGGGGACCCCCCCTTCCCTCCCGGAGGTCCTGGTCCTCTCCCCTCCCCCACGAAGCCCTGCATCCTCCGCGGATTGGTCCCCGGCCTGCCGGGGGCGGGGCCCAGGGCCGTGACATCACCGGCCGCGGTGGGGGGCCGGCGGCTGGAGGAGGGGGTGACGGGCCGGCTCAGCACCTCGGAGAGCTCCCTCCCCGGCCTTGTTTGCTCCCGCATCGCCGCCGGGGGAGGGAGCCTGGGGCCGGGGATGGCGGTGCGGAGGGCGCGGGGCCCCGGCGGGCAGGGGGCCCAGCCGTGATCCGGCGCCGAGGCCGGGGTGCCGGGCGGGGCGAGGGGCAGCTGGCAGCGGCGGCAGGGGCTGCACATCTGGATGGAAGCGAGCTTTGTCCTGACCGCCATGGCTCTGGGGCTGTCCTCCAAGAAAGCGTCTTCCCGCAACGTGGCTGTGGAGCGCAGGAACCTGATCACCGTGTGCAGGTGGGCCCTGCGGGCGGAGGGGCCGGGGAGGGGCCGGGGAGAGTTTGGGAACCTGGAGGAGCCTGCCTGGGGAGGATGCACAGCAGAGGAGCCTGCCTGGGGAGGATGCGCAGCGGAGGAGCCTGCCTGGGGAGGATGCACAGCAGAGGAGCCTGCCTGGGGAGGATGCACAGCAGCGGAGAAGAGGAGGCTGGCTCAGGGCTCAGAGCGAGTGCACCGTCCTCTGAGGCCCAGACCGGGAGGGGTTTGGAGGTCTGGTGCCTACCCGTCTAGGCCAAGACAGGCCTATGCCCAGCCGAGGCCCGGAGGGTGGGTGGGGGGGGTGTTCCATTGGTGCTGCAGCTTCCTGTGAGAGCCAGGAAGTGACACTGTGCTGGGGGGAGGGGCGGTGATGGTTGGCTCCCTTGCTGAGGACAGGGAGGCGGTGAGAGGAGGTCACTGCCCTCTGAGCATCCCCTCATTCCTACCAATAGCCTGGCCTCTCTGCAGCGGGGCTTTTCGGGGAGATTTTCCAGGGCTCAGTTCCTGAAGCAGACATGGTGCCCTCCTTCTCTGGCAGCAGGACCTGTGCAGTCAGCAGGGCCTGTGGGCGAAGACCCTGGCCTCTTCCAGGGAAGGCTGAGGGCCGGGCCGCAGAGCCGGTCTCCTTGGTTGGAGGGGAGATTTGGAGGGCAGGCCCACTGGTCCCTGAGGGTGGGGCTGCTGCGGTGTTGAAAAGATTCCCCCGCTTTCTGGGGGCCCAGGAAGTGAACCTTCCCACCTCAGCCCTGCAGAGACCACCCTTCCTGGTCTGCCCTGAGGAATGCCATCAGCTCAGCCTCTACCGCAGCCCTCACCTGTTCCCATCTCTCCCAGGATCCCCATGTCAGCTCCTTCACCTGCCATCTCCCTGCTCCCCTACCCCGTGCCGCCTCTGAGGGCACTGAGCTTCCAGCGCACATCTCAGCTGGTTTCCCTTGCCAGCTCCGCTTGCCTGTACATGGGAATCCGTGCCCACCTGATGCCCGGGCTTCTGGGTCCTATAGCTCCTCCAGGTTCCCACTGCGCCCGTCCCACACCACGGGGTCCCCAGGGCCTCGCAGTGCCCAGCACATCAGGCCCCTGTAAAGACGCCTGGGCTGTTAGAGAAGGGATGGGCACAAAGTGGAGACCTCTGCCTCCACCCTCACTCCTCATCTTCTGCCAGTGTGGTGCAAAGCCAGGATTTCTGCCTTTGGGGCCGGTGGCCCTAGGTCCAAGCTCTTGCTCCTTCAGTGATTAGCTGTGCAACTTTGAAGTCTTCTACTCATCCCGGGTCTTGGGTGCCTGCCTCATCACCCCCATTAGAGATGCAACAGCCATGCCAAGGAATGGCAATGACATAATCCACGTAGGAGTCTAGCCCAATGCCTGGCACACAAGCCCCGTCCTGATGGCACCCTTCCTGTCCCTCTCCTCCCTCGTGGCTCCTAGGTTCCTCTTCTTTCTCTTGCCGCCAGGGCAGCTGGGTCTCTTGAGCGTGTGGGGAAGGGGGCCTCTCCGTGGCCCAGGCTGCAGAAGCAGAGGTTCTGGTGGGTTGAAGTGGGCTGGCGCTGTGGTGGGAGAGACTTTGGGGAGAAACAGGGGCATGACTAAGGCTAAGAAGCCCCTGGGGCTCTGCTGCCTCATCACTGTCACATGGTTTGCCTCCAGCTCCCAGAGCAGGTCCCTTCAGCAAGCTGAGGTCTCCCCTGGGCCCTGGCCTCCCTGTCTCCATGGCAACCTGCAGCAGCCACTGCACATCCTAACGGGGAGCACACCATGGAGCTCTGGGGGCGATGACCATCCCTGCGGACAGAGGCTGCACTGCTGAACCCAGCCCCAGGCCCCCTCTGTGGTCTGCCCCGATGGTCAGAAATCACCAGGGTGTGGGGGGCTGCATAAGGAAACCCAGCTAACACCCTAAAACACAGACTCCTTCTGGCAGGCCCAACCTTCCCGTTAATCCAGCCTCTCACCACCTCAGGATTACACACACTCACCTGCTAGTCCTGTCTGGGATCTGGACCAAAATGTCAGGAGGCAGGTCATACTCTAAGTCCAAAGGGAAGGAGGGAAGGTCCGTGGACTCAGCTGTGCCATTGGCCTGCGAGCCAAGGAGGCCGGTGCCCCAGGGCTGGAGAGTAGCGCAGAGGGCAGAGGGCAGAGGGCAGAGGGTAGAGGAGGCAGGGGCTGCTCAGGTCCTTGGGAATTTGACAGCCACCAGGGGACCAAGGTATACAGAAAGAGCAAGGGCTCTGGAATCAGGCATGCTGACTTGAATCCTCAGAAGCTGGGTGGTGTGGCTCTGAATAGATCAGTTGACCACTTGGACCCTCAGTTACCTTATATGTAAAATGGGGATGATGTTGATGATCAGAGGAACTATTTCCCAGGACTGTTATAGGGATGGGTGAGGTGGCACTGCACAGTATAGTGCTGGGCCAATTATGGGCCTTGATCAGCTTAGAGGGGAAAGGATAGTTATAAGCAACCCCCATATCTGCTCTGCCACCCACAACAGGGCGATAGGGGATGTTGGGACCCGTGCCCTCCGCCCTGCCTCGCACACGGCAGCATGGCGAGTGGAGATTGCAGGGTTGGGAGTAGGGATTGCAGAGGGAGCTGAGGCTTCAAGCAGGACTACGGGGAGGGATGGGGGCTCCTGGGCTTCCCCTGACTCCCTCTTCTCTGAGAAGCCAGGTGGAAGGCCCCCACAGCCCCTTCCGCAGATCCACAGCCAGTGCTCCCTCCCCCCAGCCTGTCTGTCAGGCCCACTCGCGCACCTCCCCCGCCCAGCTCCGCACCTCCCCGTTCGGTTCCGGGCAGCTGGTGTGTGGGCGGCTAAGCGGGGAAGGAAAAGGGGACAGGGGGGGCTTCTCCATCAGTGCCACTCGGATCCATGCCCGGCCCTGGAAGGCATGTGCACCTTGGTGTGCTGAGAGCCCACCTGGTCACATGCATACCCACACCCCATGTTTTCAGCGCCCACTCACAAGCCTGGCACTGGTGACCCCCCACTCCAGAGAGTACTAAAGGTTATGCCAGCAAAAGCAGAAGACGGCTCAGTGCAGGGGTACAAACCCGCTCCTAACTCCTAGCTGACCCCCAACACACAGTAGAGAATGCCACTCCAGAGGGTGGGCAAGGAGGGGCTTTGGGGCAGCCTCCGGCGCTAGGTACCCGGACTCGCTACCTATTGTTTCACCCCCTCTCGTACCTTGTTCCCAAAGCTTCCTCTCTCTGGCTGCCACCCTCCCTGTCACCCGCTATGTCCGTCTCCCAGCTGCTGCCCCAGCACCCACCCCCACCCCCGTCACAGCACCTCTACTCTGTTCTCCCATCTCCCACACTTTCCCTCTGCCACCCGCTCCACCCATGCTCTTCATGACTCTTCTCTGCCCTCTGCCCCTCTCCCTGCCTGATGCCCTTCCCCCGCCACCATCACCCGACGCCCCTGCCCCTCTCCCAGGTTCTCCGTGAAGACCCTCCTGGAGAAGTACACGGCCGAGCCCATCGACGACTCGTCCGAGGAGTTTGTGAACTTTGCGGCCATCTTAGAGCAGATCCTCAGCCACCGTTTCAAAGGTGTGCCCAGGTTCCCGTTCCTCAGTGCCCAGCCCCCCAACCGCCATCCTTTAGCGCCCCGCCATCCACTCGGACCTACTCTGTGGCTTCCTGAACCCCATCGCTGACCCTGGTCCCAGTTCTGGTCCATGTACAGCAACTCATGCACAGTTAGGGAGAGGGGACGGGGCCTTCTGGACATGCATCTATATGATGTCCCTTTGTGTGCATGCATATGTGTGCACATATGCTTAGGGCAGGCACTATGTATGTGCGTGACACACACTTATGCATGTATGTGACCCATGACACGGGCCTTCTCTGAACTCCCTGGTCTCGCTGAGCCCCCTCCCTGCCCTGGCTCAGCCTGTGCCCCAGCAGGTCCAGTGAGCTGGTTCAGCTCCGACGGGCAGCGGGGCTTCTGGGACTACATCCGGCTGGCCTGCAGCAAAGTGCCCAACAACTGCGTGAGCAGCATCGAGAACATGGAGAACATCAGCACGGCCCGCGCCAAGGTGAGTGGTTCGCCACGGGCAGGACCCGGCAGCTTCTCCGAGCTCCGGATCCTGGGGAACTGCCCGCTCCCTGGTCCTCGCCCGCCGTGGATAATGGGGAGAAGAGCTCAATGATACACACGTGAGTCCCTTCAGTAAAGGTGCGCGTGCCTTCCAGGGCCGGGCATGGATCCGAGTGGCACTGATGGAGAAGCGCATGTCGGAATACATCACCACAGCCCTGCGGGACACCCGGACCACCAGGTCAGACCCTCAGTCAGCTCAGACCGAAGGTCCCAGTGTGTATGTCCTTTACCTAAACACACTTGATCCTTAATTTCCTGAAGCAACAGTTCCTATCTGGACTACAACTCCCAGCATGCACCTAGTTTCCACAGGCCAGCCTACCCTGCAGTTAGGATACACACCTTGGGCACCATCATCACTTCTTCCAAATAAAATTCGTTATCCCCATCACTTGCCAGCACACATCTCTCCCTTCAGACACACATCTGGACAAAAGTCTCAACCAGGCGTCATTTCACCTGTTGGCCTTGTTCCATGTCCTACAACACAGCCCTGCCTGTGGGGACTGCAGTCCCAGCACAGGGCTTCCTCTCCGCACCGTGTCCCAGGCAGGGGCAGGACTAAGGCAGCTGTGCCAGCGGGAATGGTGTGTGTCCTCCTTTAAGGAGCTGGTGACTCAGTACTTGGTGGGAAACGGGCAGCTCAGGAGACTGAGGGGCGTCTGTTCTCGGGGGACACACGTTCTAATAGGTGGGAGACACAGGTGCCATTCCCAGTGGGCCCGTCTGAGGGAGACACAGACCCACACCTGAGGGATGAGCAGGAAGCAGGTACCTCCTTCCTCTAAGGAAGGTTTGTAGTGAACCGACAAGAGAGATCCCGGGATGTGGGCTCCGGGAGGATGCTGCACCCTAAGTCCCTCCTCCACCCCCTCTCCACAGGCGTTTCTATGACTCAGGAGCCATCATGCTGAGGGAGGAGGCCACGGTCCTCACGGGGATGCTGATCGGACTGAGCGCCATAGACTTCAGGTGGGGCCGAGGTGTCGGTGCCCGTGCGGGGGTGTTGTGGTGGGGTGTCTCCACGCACGGATGTGCACCCCCATCCCTTCACCCCACCCCCTTCCCTGTGGGCTCTCTGGTCTCAGCTTCTGCCTAAAGGGTGAAGTGCTGGATGGGAAGACCCCCGTGGTCATCGACTACACGCCCTACCTGAAGTTCACCCAGAGGTGAGAAGCCGGATCGCTGCGGGGGCCACGGGCAGACCCGGCCGGAGGGACATGGGACATGGGACATGGGACATGGGACGGGGATGGGGCAGGGGGCAGGCAGCGCGGGATGCACGGCGAGCCTGCGGGCACCGCTCCCTCCCGCAAGCTACGACTACCTGACGGACGAGGAGGAGCGGCACAGCGCGGAGAGCAGCACCAGCGAGGACAACTCCCCGGAGCACCCGTACCTGCCGCTCGTCACGGACGAGGACAGCTGGTACAGCAAGTGGCACAAGATGGAGCAGAAGTTCCGCATCGTCTACGCGCAGAAGGTGTGCGCGGCGGTGACGGGCAGCTGGGGGGGTGAGGGGGTGGCGGGAGTTGGGGGGGCCGGGTGCTGGGGTCCCCCCCTCCGCTCACCCGCGCTCCGCAGGGCTACCTGGAGGAGCTGGTGCGCCTGCGCGAGTCGCAGCTGAAGGACCTGGAGGCGGAGAACCGGCGGCTGCAGCTGCAGCTGGAGGAGGCGGCGGCGCAGAACCAGCGCGAAAAGCGGGAGCTGGAGGGCGTGATCCTGGAGCTGCAGGAGCAGCTGTGAGCGTGGCCGCCCTGACCCCTGACCCGGCCCCCCAACACTCCCCTCAGGGAACCCCCCACATCGCTCCCCACTGACTCCAACCTCACCTTTCCTGATGCCTGCATCCAACTCCACCAACACCAGCATCAAACCACTGACCAGAAACCTCCCCGGGAACCTTCTACGTTATCCTCAACTAAGATCCTGCGACCCTTCCAAAACCCTCCCCGCTTCATGTCAGTGACCTGACACCAGCTAGTCTGGCCGTTCATCCAACATTGTTCCCGGGGCCCCAACATTACTCACAAGGACCGATTTTCAACGTCATTGAATTATTCCCTCTGATGTGCTACATCCGCCCACTGACTGTCATCACCCATGGTGACCCCTGACCTCCACCCATCCCTGATATTTACCCACTGAACCTTTCATCCTCCTGTGACCTCCCAGCATGATTCCCAAACTCTCCCCCTCACAACCACTGATTGCATTTCAGGATTCCTACATCACTCTCCTGACTCCCTCCCTCCCCCAGCCTGAGGACACTAATCCTTGCCACTTCTTTGACCCCCAGTGCTCACTCTCCACTGGCTTCTAGAATCTGCCCCACTCATCCTCAACATTCGGTCCCCCATTTCTGCTACCCAGGTTTCAACCCTAACCCCTCCCCCTTGCTGAGACTCCTTCCCTACTTCTGTTCCCTCTCCCAGCCAGCCTGACCCCCACCTCCCCATCCCAGGACAGGTCTGATCCCTGGCGACCACGCCCCTCTAGTCCAGGGTTCCAAGGAGCTCACCACGTCCCTGGTCAACCAATGGCCATCACTGGGAACGCTCAATGGGGCTGAGGGTGTCAGCAACCCCAAGCTGTACCGGAGGTAAGCACAGCTAGGCTCAGCTTGGCCTGAGTGCTGGTCCCTCCGAGGGAAGAGGGGCAGGGGATAGGGGAGGAGCGGTAAGCCTCTGCCCATACACCAGCTCTCTACTCTGTCACAGACACAGTTTCATGAGCACGGAGCGGCTGTCAGCTGAAGCCAGTCTGAGCTCGGACTCCCAGCGCCTGGGAGAGGGCAAGCAGGATGAGGAGCCCTGGGGCCCCATCGGTGAGCCCCCCCCCCACTCCCGTCCCCCCATGCAGCACCCAGCATGCCTCCAGGAAGGGCTCAGGCCAGGCCTTGGGGCTTGTAGTCAGGCCCTGGTCAATTCCCTTGAACTCAGCCCTTCCAGAGGTTAGCACAGCAGTTAAGAGCGTGGTTTGGTGGTTTGGGGTGTAGGGCAGCCCTAGGGCAAACCCCCGCTGTGCCTCCTCTGGCGGTGGAGCTGGGTCACTCACATTGCTGAGCCTTCTCACCTGTAACGCGGGGATGCTGATCAGTGACCACGTTTGGCACGCGGCGAGGGCTGAATGGCTTATGACATCCTCAAGGGGTCCAAATGCTCGGGGAGGTCTGCCCGATTTGCTCACATCTCATGCACCCCGTGCCTGACCTTTCCCCTTTCCTTTGGCTGCCAGGAAGCTCCGAGCCAAAGTAGTGGCTCCCTTCAGTGAATGCCAGGACTTCAACGCATGCACTTTGTGTTGCCCTCCCCGTGGTTTCATCTTGGTTTCCCACCCTAGCTCTCCCGGTGCCTAAATGTCATGTCTTTTTAAAAACCACTGTACTGGATGACCCTAGATCTGAGACCAGGCAGGCTAACATGTGACCTGCCACAGTCTGTGACTGTCCATGTCTGTCTCCCCACCAGACTGTGAGCTCCTTGAGGGCAGGGACTGTCTAGTCCGTTCTCTGTATGCCAGTGCTTGGAAGATAACATGTGCTCAGTGTGTTTAATAAATGGACAGAACGGATGAACCTCGGGGAGACAGAGACATACACTGCCGGCTACAGTAGTGTTCCCGGTTCCCTGTGCTGTGCATGGCACAGGCAGGCGCCTAACCAGGTTCACGGAAATGGCAGACGTTGCAGAAATGAGGCGTCTCCCGCTGTGGGCCGATCTGATCCCACCCCAAGGCCCCTGCCCATGCAGACTGGTTGGCCTGGCCTCACCTCCCCTCTCTCCCCAGGGAAGGACCCCACGCCCTCCATGCTGGGCCTCTGCGGCTCCCTGGCCTCCATCCCCAGCTGCAAGTCCCTCGCGAGCTTCAAATCCAACGAGTGCCTGGTGAGCGACAGTCCTGAGGGCAGCCCGGCACTGAGCCCCAGCTGAAGTGTGGCTTGTGCCAGCCCCGCCTGCCAGGGCACAGACACCGGCCGCCTTTCCTCAGAGTCCCCCAGTCCAGGCCACGCTGCCCACCCAGCCAGGGGTCTCGGGAACGGAGCCTTTGGCTTCCGGTTCCAGCTTCCTGCCCCAGGAAGCAGCGTTACCAGGGGAAGCCGGTTGGGTAGGAAGTGGGGTCGCCAAGGCCACAGCAAGTCCTTGAGGAAGCTTGTTCCATCTTCTGGTGACTGATGCCTGCTGCTCCCTCCTGGGACTCTTCCCCATCTTCCCCACCCTCCTCAGGAGCACCTTCATCTCCCCACCTCCCGTCTGTCCTGTATTCACTCCCTGGAGTCCTTTCTTCCTCGGCCCCCAGGGCAGGGCTCTGAGGGCATCAGGCAAATAAAAACCAGAGGACTGAGGGAAGCCTTGTCTGTGGGGCGGGGACAGGACCGTCCTGAGGTTGGCAGAATGCGGCAGAGCCAGTGCCGGGCCCACGTGGTGCTGCACCACAGAACGGGTGTGCGTCCTGTGGGGGCAGGCGGGTCCGAACAGTTCGGAGTGGGTGACGGGGGTGTTAGTCCGCCCAGAGCAGGACCAGGACACATAAATACCCCCCTTCAACCAGACACTCTTCAAGAACTTGCTCAACTCCTGGCAGAGAAGAGAATGAGGGGGTGGGCAGGATGGAGGCAGGGCCTGGGAGGGCCCTTCTCCATCCTTCTGCACAATTCCGCTTTGGCCCCAAGCTGCAGACCCTCCCATTAGACCAAGCCTGGCAATGAAGCAGCTCTCCCTCCTTCACATCTAAGTGCGCCTTGGGGAGCATCCTCTACCCTGGCCCCAACACCATCAAGGTTGCTTGTTGACCCCAACTCTGGGTCCTCACTAAACTGGGGGGCCCTTTCCACCCAGGCAAGACCCCTTCCAGGCCTCCTCTATGCAAATCACTCACCAAGTCCCGCTTCCCCAACCCCCGGCCCCTGGCCCTGCAGACACAGACACGGGAGGAAAATCCATCATCTTTACACTCAGTGAATTGACAGCAGTGGGTTCAGACTGGCCAGGTCCAGGGTTCTGTGGGCCTTGGGGCCAGGCCCAGCTATAACAAACACAGGGAAATGAATGGGCAAGAGGACAGAGTGAACAGATTTGGTCTTGAACTTGGGAAGTTGGGTGGAAAAGTGAGATCCTTGGGGTCTGGGATGAGGACCACAGGAAGAAAGCTGTCTGATGGGGCCTGCGCAGGCGCAACGGATGGGCTGGTTCCCTTGGGGCTGAGCTGAGAGGGAAAATGAGGCCCCTCCCCTGAGGACAAGGCACTTGGCTCAGACTCCTCCTGCCCACACATTCCAAAGAAGAGATGGGGCCTCATCCCCTCGCTCCTCTCACTGGCTCAGAGACTGTTCCAGGTTGAGCCTCTGAAAGAAGCTTTTGCCCAACTCGTATGTGCTGATCATGATGGCACAGGAGGGGGCGGCCTTGATGATCCTTGGCAGGAAGCCTGCAGGGGGAGGGCAAGACTGGGGTCAGAGGCTGGTCCCAGAGGGCCCACCCTCACCAGGGCCTGCAGACACGCACCTGCAAAGAGGCCCCTGGTGCCGGACTCGGCCCGGATCCTCCGCAGCAGCAGCCAGGTGGAGTCGGCGGGCACAGGTGACACTGCGGGCACAAGGCATAGCCCAGTAAAACCCCACTTGGACCCCGCCAGCCCCGCACCATGCCAGCCCAGCCCCTCACCTCTCACAGCCTCCCCGGCTCCCAGCGCAACCTGGCGCTGCGTCTTCACCACGTCGAAGGGTAGAGTCAAGATGGCAGCCACCTGGGGGCAGAGGGGAGGCTTCATCTCCATTCCCAGGACCCTCTCCCTCGCCCCAGCCAGAGTCTGCCAAGCTTAGCACCAGGGAGGGTGAGCTTGCTTCTCGACAGGCAGCTCCCGCACTGCCATCAAGGACACCTCTGCCAGCCACACCCCCGCCCAGTCAACTCACCGTTCCTGAGATGCCACCAGCCACAAAGCTGATGCCCACTGATGTCTGGTCCTTTGGCCTGCGCCCAGTCAGCCAGCTCTTTACCAGCTCATAGTTGAACCAATACAGGGCTTGGGGGCACAAGATACGCTCATTAGAGATGGGGAAGGCAGAGGGTGGGCCCCATACCACTCTCTTCCACTGACCTATCCCATGACAACCGCTCCCTCCCAGTTAAGAGACCCTTTTGCTACACTAGTTTCCATAACAGCTTCTCTGCAGGAATTATCTCGTGAAAATCTGGGCAAATACCCTGTACATTGAGCCCATTTCACAGATGAGATGGGGCTCAGAGAAGTCACATGACTTCAAGGGCAGTAGTATCAAAGCTGAGTCTTGGCTGTAACCTCTGGTGCATCATCCAGGGGTCCCCTCATCCCATATCCCCTCACCCTGGGCGCCTACCTGAGAAGGGCACATCCCGAAGAGCAGTGGGGCCCCAGCCCAGCCACAGCGAGCGCCAGCCGCCCTGGGCCACGGAGGTTCGGACACAGGCGCCCAGCTCCCGGTATGACACGTGCTGAGCCTGCAGCTTTGTCCGTACCAGTTCCAGGGGGCTTATCACAGTCACGGTGCCCACTGTGGGGAGCAAAGGGGAGGGATCAGTTCACAGCTCATGGCACTGTGCCCAGGGTCTGGGAGCCCAAGACATCTCCCCACCCCTAAGCGGGCAGAGTGAAGCTGGGAGCGAGGACTGAGCTCAGGCAGAGCGGGGGCCGAAGGGAGACCAAGGGCCCAGGGCTGTGCTCACAGCGGGCCAATGCACCAGCCACCATGGGTGCATAGAAGTCAGAGGTCAGGGCTCGAGCACACAGGAAGGCCTTGAGTTGGTCATAGGCCGTGAAGTAGATGGCGGTTGCTGGCACAGTCATCACCCTGGAGGTGCGAAGAGACGTCAGCTGGGACTTCCAACCCCCCAGCCAGCCCTGCCCAGCCAGCCAGCCAAAGGGGAGCAGGAGATGAGCAGGGCACAAGGGAAGACAGCATGCAGGACGGGTCTCACAGGGTGGCTGGAAGGCCGCTCCACAGGGTCCTGGTGCCCTCGTGTCTCACAATCTTCACAAAGGCGTCCTGGCCAAGAGGACAGCAGCCGGAGCGGGAAGGATGACATGGAAGAGGCCTGTGAAGGCGCTGGCCCCCGCTGGCCCCTAACCCGATGCCCTGCCTCTGCCCACAGCCCTGGGTCCTGCTGGGAGGCAGCAGCCCCTCAGGTCCCACCCATGCCAGTCTGCTCGGGGCGGACTCCTATTCACCCTTCACAACCCCACGGAGGGCACTACCCCCAGGGGAGCCTTTCCAGAACCGAACTGGCTGCCCCAACAAGCTTTGCTGCTATATTCCTTCTTCTTGGGCCTGCTGCCAGCCCCCTACCCCTCAGGAATTCTGACAGACCCGGCTGAGGGCACAGCTGCTCCTCACCACAGTGCCAGTGAAGCGAGTGGGGTCCTGAAACCAGGTGGCGCAGCGGGCACCATTGGGGCACAGGTACAGGGGTTCCAGGACACCGTTGCAGTAGAGGAGGCACTTCCCTGTGGGCCGGAGAGAGGGCACTGGGGAGGGGGGGGGACAATGACGGACGGCCATGGCGCTGGAGCCCTGCGGGGAGGGGTGAGCCCCTGACCCGGGAGGGCCAGCAGAAGCTGGGTCCTCAGGTGGGCATTCCTGCCAGGACAGAGGGCGGGCTGGGAGGACCTGAAGCACATGCCAGTCCGTGGCTGCCAGGCTCGCCGGTGCCCTGGGGCGCTCCCTCCCCGGACCCTCACGCTCCCCGGGGCGAGGGGCACTCACATTTGGTGAAAGAGAGGCTCCAGAGCCTGGAGGGAGGCGTCAGTTCTAAAATACAAGATAGCCCCCCAAGTCAGGAGACGATCCCCCCCCCCCCCCCCCCCCCCCCCCCGCCGCAGGGATCCCATCTCTGGGAGATCCTTTTGCGCAGACACCACCCCCTACTGGCTCCAGGCAGACACTCACCGCTGGTCACTGAGGGACGCTGAGCCTGCAGGCGGACCTTCACCACGTCCAGGGGGGTCACTAGGGGAGAGGGCAGGCCTGAAGACTCCTTTCAAGGCGCCACTCCCGACACTTCCTCCGGGACCAAGACCCTTCCAGTCTCTGGCCTGTCCTCCCCCCGCCCGCCACCTCCCAGGTCTTACTGAAGATGGAGGTGACCACAGCCCCGGCGCCTGAGGCCACCATCTGCTGGAGGGGGCTGATGCCCCCAGGGTCCTGATCGGCCATCTTGGAGCTTCAGTCCTGAAAGACAGACAGCTCCAGGAGTCCCAGCTCCCAGCACAGAAACCAGTGGCTGAGGGCGGGGCAGGGAGCTCCGGACTTCACTCTCACCGCTCACCCCGTTCACCCCATTCACCCTCCGATTAACAAGGGTTCCAGGGGTCATCCCAGGGCCTTTGAGAGCCCTTTCTGCCGTCCCCACTTTGCCTATGGGGAGACTGAGGCTGGGGGAGGTGAGGCGACCGCTCAAGGTCACTCTGGGCGCAATGAGGAAACCGGGACAGTCGCCGGTTAGTTAATGGGCAACAGTGGCCACCTGGCCCGCGGCCAAGGCCTCCCTCGCCCTCACCACGCAGGCTTACTGGGCACCTCCTCTTACAGGCCCTGGGCGTGGCCCCGCGTCCCCAAGATCAAAACCAACCCCCCCCCCCCCAGCACCCTCTCCTCCCCCGGGGCCCCTGGATTATAGCCCAGCCCCGAGGCGGCACATGGAGCCACGGGCACCGAGCTGGAGGGGCCGGCAGTGCGGCCATGTGTGCGCAGATCCGCTCTCCCTGCCCCGCACCCCTCCCCCCAGGCCGGGAGGCTGGGCCCGGGGCGAGGATGGGGACAATCCCTCGGCCCACTCCCCCTACATCCCAGGCCCGGGGACCGACCGAGAGGCAGGAGTGGGGACCCAGGATCGGTCCCCGCCCCTCGCCCCTCGGTGACCGTCCCGGTCCTGACCCCACTCCCCGGGGAAGCCCACTTGGTGGTCGACGCCACGGCCCACGGCTCCTCCGCGCCCCCCGCCCAGCCCCGGGCCAGGCTCCCGGGGACGCCGGGGGACCCCGCTCCGGCCTCCGCCCCCGCCGGGCCCCCAGCCCGGCGCCGCCGCCCACCTGGCTTTGGGATGGCACTCGCGCGGCGCGGAGCCCGGGGTCGGGCGGGCCCATGGCGGGTCCGCGACCGGTGCGGGGTCCGCGCGCGTCCGCCTCGCTCCGAAGCCGCCGAGGAGGAAGGCTGCCGCGCCGCCCCGCCCCCGCCCGCCGCGAGGCCCCGCCCCCGCCCGCCGCGAGGCCCCGCCCCCGGGCCGACCGGCCGCGCGCCCGGAGTGGCGCCGGAGTGCGCCGCCCCGCCCGCGAGGCCTCCCTGGGAGCCGCGGGCCCGGTTCCCCCAGCGGCCCTACCCACCCCGCGGGCCGCGAGCCCCGGCGCGGGTCTCCACGTGGCGCCCTGCCGGCCGCGTGTCCTCAGCCCGCACCCCCAGCCAGGCCTCCGGCTGCACCGGAGCCCCCACCTCCGCGGGTCCGCAGGGCTTAGGCTGGGGGCGGGGGAAAGGGAAAGGGAGGGGATCAGTTCCGAAGCCGCGGGCAATCGGAGAGGGACGGCGAGCATTTTCCCGCGGGGCTGGGTTTTTACAACCCCCGGGACCGGAGTGAGCCAGCTCCTCCCTTTTCACAGACGGAGACTCGGCTCCAAAACCGCTTGAAAAGGCGGAGGGCTCCGGGCGCTGGTGCGCAGCGGGGTTAGACGTGCTGGCGGGCTGAACGGAGGGAAAAAGGCTGGTCCGGAAGCGGGGAGTCCCTGCTTCCACCTGGGCTCGGTCCCACCTCCGCGTGACCTTGGGCCCCGGACAAGAAAGGGGGAATAAGGGAGAAGAGGACCGACATTGGTTACTCTCACACCGTTGTTTTTTTTTTTAAACACATTTTTATCGATTCCAGAGAGGAAGGAGAGAAATATCAGTATGAGAGAGCATCATTGATCGGCTGCCTCCTGCACGCCCCCCACTGGGAATTGAGCCTAGAACCCAGGCATGTGCCCTTGACCTGAATCGAACCTGGGACCTTTCCAGTCCGCAGGCCAACGCTCTAGCCACTGAGCCAAACCAGCCTGGGCTCACACTGTTTTATCTTCTAAGTCTCAAAGTTTTTTTAGAAGTAGGTCATGATTCGCCCCATTTTGCAGCTGATGAGACTGAGGCTCCAAGTTAAGAGCTCGGGGCTGAACGGGCCAGGTTACCCCGCCGCGCAGGGTGGCAGATGGGCTTAAGCCTTACGCCCACGTCTCTGATCCGGCTTCTCAGGGAGACACAGTTCTCTCCCCGGCCAACTCCACCACCTTCCTCGTCTTTAAAACTTTTGTGCAGCCTGACAGTTCTAACAAAAACAAAAACTACACACCGAACACGGGGTGAGGGACTGTGCCTTTAAGAAGGTTGGCCGTGACTTTGACGTCAATTGGCTCCCGGAAACGGTCGGGTCAAGACCCAGAAGCTGCGCAGCCAGCCGGCGCAGCGAGGTTAGCACGTGGATCCCACAGGGCCAACCATGAGCTTTCCCTGGGAAAAGGCCTTGCGCGTTCCCACTGCTGGGAAGCCCGAATCTGTGGGCGTGGAGAATGCAATCTGTGACTGGTGAAATGGACGCTCGTCTAAAGGGCCGGAGGGGAAATATATAAATAAAATATAAAATAAAGGGCCGTACGGAGGGCACCATTTCCTTCCCAAACCAAGCTGAGGTCTGAAATAATAATAATAAAAAATCATTTTATAAACTGTTGGTTCAGGTGAAAACCAGCTTCTACTAAGGTCCTTTACAGCCTCAAAGTTACGGTTTACCCCAACAGTTAGTTACACAACCATCAGCCCAGAGATTACTCTCCCATTTTACAGAGGATGAAACAGGTTTTTCCATGTTATGACTCTAGTGTGAAGCAGAACCCAGGTTTCTCTCATGCAATTTCTCATTTCACAGACCAAAAACCCGGAGACCTCAGAGGTCAAATCGGACCAAAGCCACTCGAGTGGAAGAGCCAGAATTCAAACCGCCACCTGCCTGAGTCCAGAGAGCTCCCACCACCCCCCTCATTCTTAACCCAGTGACCTGTTCACCTGTTTCATTTACTCAGGCCTTGGGCCCCAACAACGACAAGAAATACCAGGCGAACTGGTTAAAGATTCGGCTTTTGTAATCAAAGGAAACACGATAATTTCAAGAGAAACCTCAAAAGTGCTTTATTCAAAGTAATGTCCATCGCTAGCTACACATTTCCCCACCTTTCAGGTAATTTGTAAATACCGTCCCAATAAAACTTTTCTTGTTTTGAGGCACACCATTCAGAGACCCAATTTTCCACTTCTTCGTACGTTTTGAAGTGCTGCTCAGAAAGTGTGTGTGCTATCGATTGGAATAAATGGTAATTTGAAGGAGCAAGGTCTGGTGAATTCAGTGGCTGGTTTAATACTTCCCAGGCAAGATCTTTTAACGTGTCTTTAACTGGTTTTGAAGTGGGTGTGGTGTGTCTTCATGAAAGCAAAATTACTTGGCTGTGTCTTCTGGCCCATTCTGGTCGTTTTACAGTCAAAGCGTGGTTCAAACTGACCTGGATATTCTTTGTCTTTCACATAGAAATCATCACTTCTAAAGCATTTAATCCAGCCTTCACAAGTATCTTGAGATGCAGCATGTTCACCATAAGCTTCCAGAAGTATACGATAACTTTCAGCAGCACTTTTCTTCAAAATAAATTAAAACTTCTCACAAATGCTCCGTTTTGGGCATGAAATTCAAAAATTTTAACCGTAAAAATATCTACTGGTATGATGTTAACACCTTCAGGAAATTTGACGCATGAAGTTTTGAAGCTTGCTGTCAATACAACAAAATAGCATACATATCAAATCGCATATACGGTATATCAACATATCTGTAGCTCCATCCATTGAAAAAAATCCGCATCATTCACCGGTACAGCTGGTCCAGGGTGCGTCTGGCAGCACCACTTGTCTGCTTCACGATCAGAGCACCGGGGAGGCAAGAACCTGGCTCCAGTTTGCTCCTGCAGCAGGTGTGTGACCTATGGCAAGTATCTTAACGCCTGTAAGCCTTACTTTCCCCATTTACAAAACCAGCTGATGGGGATAATAACACACCTAACTCATAGGAATTATGTGAGGATTTAATGGATTAATAGCTATAAAATGTAAGATCATTGTCTGGAGGTTTCAAGCACTCAATGACTATTATTATTATTATTATTTAATATATTTTATTTTATTGTTAAATATGTTTTATTGATTTTTTACAGAGATGAAAAGAGAGGGATAGAGAGTTAGAAACATCGATGAGAGAGAATCATGGATCAGCTACCTCCTGCACACCCCCCACTGGGGATGTGCCCGCAACCAAGGTGCATGCCCTTGACCGGAATCGAACCTGGGACCTTTCAGTCCACAGGCCGACGCTCTGTCCACTGAGCCAAACCAGTTTCAGAAATGACTATTATTATTATTATTATTATTGATTACTTTCCAGAACCTGTGGCACGGAAAGTTCAGGAAAAGGGTCTTTAGAGCAACCAGGGTTCTGTTTCTGGTCCTACTTCTACCTCCAAACGCAGGTACAGACAGTTATCACTCCTCATACTCCTTCCTTCCCAGATTCACGTTCACACAGCGATAAAGTAGCAGAGCCAGCAATCAAACCTGGTGACCTGTGAGCCTGCCTTCCCCAGAGTAGAAATGAAAGACTTGCACTTCATTTCTGGGTTTCTTCTTGCAATAGGATGCCTTTGAGATGTGTTGCTACGTCTCAGTTTCCTCACCTGGAAATAGAAGTGATGTCCCCGGTCCGGCCTGACTTACACACTCTTGGCTAAAAAAAGTCATGTCTTTGAAAGCCATGTGAAGACTCAACACACAGTCCTGTGGCCCCTGTCAGGGCCCCAGAGCTGAGCGGATCACGTCCCCGCCTTCCCCCACAGGGGAATGCTTTGGGGCTGAGGAACCTGGGGAAGTCCTTGGTGTGAGGAAAGCACCGCAGTCTGGGCAGGTGGGAGAGGTCACTGAGCCCCAGAGGGCAAATCCAAACCCAGGCTCACAGCTGAGCCCCAGGTCGCGCTTTGGATGGAACCTGAGTTCAGGGAGGGGGAGGAGCTACAGGAAATGGGGGGGCATTTCCCAGGGTGATCATGGTGGCTGAGGGGGCAGCCGGAGCCTCCAGAGCCCTGGCTGGACTTGCCGCC